ATCAGGGGCAGCTGCTTTTTCAACTCGCCTCTCTTTAATGAAAATCCGATTCGGCAGCTTGGCGTGAAAAATCGTCAGGCGTGTTTGTTTGCATCATTTGCGAGAGAGATCACTGAGAGGGGGTGGAAAGGGGACGAAAGACAGATTGTCCGTCAAAGTGTCTAAAAAACGTTAGTATAAATTCCAACTTGGGTGATTAAATTTTATATTGTCTTACAAAATTAGTGTTCGAGTTAAGAACTCCTTACCAAATCGTCAAATTAAAAGCATGAACAACAATATAGGGTTGAAATTTAAAGCGTAAAACAATTGGAAACGATTGTTGAAAAGACTTGTTTTTAAAACGTCACTAACGATTCATTAATTTATATAAAAATAATCTCAGAGCTGCCATCGAGTTTTCACTCCTTCTGAATATTTTCATTAATAAATTTTTTCTTTAAATCTGTCGGAATTGAAAAAAAATCGCAAAATCAATATCATTTATTACTTAACTTACATTATTTTTAATAATCATTTATTAATAATGATTTAGTGTCATCTCCTTTCTTTCCTTGTTTTTATTTAGATATAAATTTTTTTATTCAAATATTAGATTCTGTCAACGGATAAATAATTAATTATTTTATTTAAATCTATTTTATTAGCTGTGAAAACCAAATATCAAATTTCAATGATAGAATTTCGGGTCAAATTGAAAAATCAATTTGAAATTTCCCATGCCAACCGTGATTGGAGATAAACTGAGACACTTATCTCATCAATCACCCTTTTGCCGTACATTCTATCGGAGGCAATCGCACATTCGGCCAATATGTGTCAGCTAACGAATGTAATTGTGCTATCGGTTATTGATTTGCGCATTTCGTCGCCTCTCTCTCGCGCGCTCCATTCCACCAACACACCCCCTATAATGTTCTTATCAATCGGGGTTCATCTGTCGCCATAAATAATAGGCGCCCTCGATGTATCTGTGTGTGTGCTCTCGGGGTCGAAGAGGGTGCTCTCGTTCGCCTTCCGCCGCGCTGCAGATAAAAGTCAATACGTGTTTACAATGCCCATGCAAATATTTATCCTGCTTGCGCTGCTATTTATTTTGCATTACGGAGACCAGCGTTTTGCTTTTCTTCAATTTTTTCGCGTTCGCATACACACGGCGAGTATTGATTTTGCTCGATAAATGTACAACTTCGCAGTATGCCATTATGTGCAAAAAAACTGACTTTTTTCCCTCGGCCTCGTTTCGTTGTTGGAACATTTTTCCCACTTGTGCATTTTACTTTCCGAGAAAATCCACATGGGCGTGTTTGCTGAAGGTGAAAAGCTCGGAGGAAATATTTTGTCGGCAAGATATATATTTTTTAGCACGCTGCTTGTGGAGAAGTTATTTCAGAACGGAAATTACAGTCTCAAAAACCTATATAAGAAGAAGTAAGCACTGCAGGTATATGAAAAGAGTTGAATAATTGGAATCATTGCACATGTAAAGAATTTCGACAATATGACAAGTAATTGATCATACTTCATTCTCCGTGCTGACACATCTTCTCAAGGCAAAACCTGTGATAGGTGACAAGAAAAAATATATTTCGATCGAGTCTCAATGCGACGAATTGTATCTTTTTGATTTCAAAATTTTAGCAAAATACTTCCTGGCAGTCTTATTTCGTCCAATAATTCAATATTGTTTTGTTTCTCTTCAAAAAGAAAATATTTTGTAATCTAAAATTCATGGATAGGAAACATTCTTTGCAAATATTTAAAAGGTTTTTTTACCACCATTTTTTTAGACTGTTTTCCAAGTTTTAGTTCTTTAAGCATAATTATCGTATATTATTAAATTTTATTGTCAAAAATTAACCACTAATTTCATATTTTAAAGCTACCACTTGAGGCTAAGGCAAGGGAATATGGTTTTCTCATGTAAATAATAACATGGAATTTAAATTTTCTATTACAAATTTACAAAAAAAAAATAATAATAATAAAAACAAGGTTGTGGAGTTAAATTTTTTTTTTTTTTTTTTTTAGTTTTTCTGGTAAATTTGTAATGGGAAATTTTAATTCCATTTGTATTATTTATATGAGAAAATCATAAAACGACTCACTCTTATTACAATTTATTTTTTACAGATTCATAACATAAAAGAAATTGTGCAGATTCATTTATCCTGTTCTCTTTTAATTTAAAACTTTTCCAGGTCATATAGTGGCAAAACACACATTAAACATGGATTATTCTCCAATTTTAAACTTTTATTTTACAGCTTTTCATGCCGCAGCTCTAGTGAAAGAAAAAGCCAAATTTTCGGCCTAAAATTCGCTCGTAAAAATTCAGCGGCCACTTTCCCTTTCACGCAGGGCTTTGCCAAAACATATAAAACTCGCCGAAAACGGACATTTTCGACCGAGTTTTTCCTGCGCGTAAACTCCACCGCCGGGGAGAGAAATGGACCGTTTGACCTGTGTGCCTTTCGGCTGAGTGAATATCTTTGTGTAAGTGGTCCATTGTTCGGCTCGCAGCGGGTCAGAGAAGCTCTCTCGCCCAACTATTTTTATAACCTCTGATTCACCTGTCACGGATGCTGCATAGGGGTGGCTCGCACCGACATACCTGCTCTGCGCAACGGAAAAGTCACACAAAAAATATAAGAAAAAAAAAAAGAATGAAACGTCGAAGGGACGAAAATCAAATAGCGCACGTAATGCAGCCCGCCTGCTCTCTCTAGGGTTGATGGAATTTCATTTTTTTCCGACGCCAGCCGCGTTGGCGCGGGTGATTGATGAAAAAGAGAGAGACATTGTCGCCGTGCTGTGTATTTAGATTTATGACGCCACTTCATACTTTGTTTGTTTTGCGCGATATGGCGTCTTCCTTTCTTTCTTTCTTTGTGTTTGACACACAGACCGATGGACGGCTTATTTGTATGCACCGCGGACTGAATTTACTCTCGGTGACAAGTAGTCTTATCAATGAAATTGTAATCTTATATGCAAATCACTTATTATGTCATGATGTTGTGATTTCATGCACGTTTATTTTTCCACTTTTAAACTTACAAAATATGCAAAATATGATTTGAATGATCTTTTGCAGATTATTTTTATGGCTCAAATTAATTTAATCTCGTAGAGGCCTTCAAAGCAAAATTATAACGGGCTATTTGTTTTTTATTTTTAATCAGCAATTCTCCATTTTTGTCGCGAAACAAAACATTTTCTAGTTGACGCCAACATAAGAAGACAGTGAGATTTCTTTGACCGTTTTATCTGCAGTAAGATTAGAATCAGACTTTTTTTGCAACATTCTTGAAGAAATTTACGTTGCCTTATGAAATATGTAGTGAAATAATAAATTTTTTTGTTTCCAATTTGTATTGCCAACGTGAAACACAAGGCCAACTGACAAAACTAGCTTGACCACTGTGTTCCGCTCTACTTTTTTTATCAGTCTAACTTTAAGTCAAAGTGTCTTATCAGTCTGTGCCCTTTTCTGAGCTTCAGGAAGGCAATTATTTCCAATCTTTCAATTACTTCCCGAATTTTCATAATTTTTTGCATAAATTTTCTTATTGTCATTTGTGGTCGAAGAGAGTTATTATTGAAAATTTTAAAATATTAGTGAGACAAAATAACACTCCATTCAAAATTAAAAGTTAATTTAAATTTTGATCATTTTAAAAAATCGGATCACAAAATTTTTTTCTCACGCAGTAAAATTATTCAAAAATTGTAGAATTAAAGAAATTTCCAATTGAGGTCTGAAAAAATTGTCTTTTCCTTGTTAAAATCTGTTCTTCATGCACTAACAATTAATTTCAAAATTTAAAAATAATTTTTTACAACATTGATGAAATCTATTCATCGCTTAATTTGCATTTGCAATTCTTGTTATAATAACATAATTTAATTCTCGTACAAAATTCTTTCTTCATTATATTTTCCCTCAAGTTATGTGTTTATCAGGAAAGAAAATACAAATTTAATCTTTTTTTACTTCCTGGCGCAATTAGCGATTGTAATTTTTATCGAATAAAACGAGGAAAAAAATTCCCCCTCGTGATGAACCTCATTGTTCTCCTGCAACGTTTCGCCTCACGTACATTTTCATGATTTCAACCTCGCTGCAAAAATGATGAGTGCACGCTCGGCCAGGTTGCTCGCCGAGGAAGGTCAGGGACCTGCTGCTGCGGTTGCAGACAGGATATGGGGATGCAATTTACATAGATTACGTACGGTAGTAGGCATTGTGTCGGCGAGCACCATTATAACCAAAGGTATTAGGCCTAATTAATGTATGCAAATACTCGACTAGCAGCGGTGTAATACCGGTGATAATGCACAAAGGGAAAACAGAACGTTGCTCGCATTTCAGCCAGGAGAGAGATGACAATCGAACCATCAAGGTGACTTGCAAAAAGGGAACATTTGCGTGGAAATTTCATCACTTAAATTTTGGTCAGGTTAAGTCTAAAAAATGAAACTATTAAAAGCTCTTGTGTTGAGTAAGTAAAACACCCAAAGAAAAAAATGGTGTTTACAATTAAATTAGAATTTCGTTAACATATTTTTCCTGAATCTTATTCTTTCGGCCTGAAAACTTGCAAGCTTTGGATTCTAAATAAATTTATAATTCAGAGTTATTGACAGGATGTTGCTGAAATCTGTGATTGGTCAAGAATCAAGAAATCCTAAAAAATTAAATACTTTTTTGATTTTAAGTTAATTTCATAATATATTGCAGGGCTTGATTTTGTCTTCAATTGATAGGATTTTCATTCAAAGTTATTTTAAAATCATGTCCTCAGGAGAAGAAACTAAAACATTTAATTTGAAAATAACGAGCTTCAAAATCTTCAACTAACAATCTCAGCAATGTGTAAATAAATGTTCGAAGGAGCCAAAGAGACTATAAATTTTTTAATCATTGGCAAAAACCAGAGCAAAACCGGTTCGCCAAAGATCAACTTTTTAGATCATGTACGTTTTCGAACACTCACCTTGCCATCCTTGGTGACCTGCAGGTAGTAGACGATCGCGAACATCCATGTGACCGAGAACATGAGCAGCAACTTGACGTTCCGCCGCATGACGAGTCTCTTGATGGAGTGCACTTTGACTGCGAATTGCGGCAGGCCCGTCGGAGAACCTTCCTAGGAGGGCCGCGGGTGCACAGGTGATCACCACGGCGTTCGCGACCCAAACTGGCTGTGAGCCTCGGCCTGCCTGCCAAGAACCTCGCTGCTGCACCAACCAAAACAAACGCGCTGTAGTGGTGTCGCGATAGGTACAGGTTAACCTAAAACCTATCAAAAATAACCGGTTTTTTAGGTTAGGTAGTTTTTTTTAAGAAACCTACCGGTACCTAAAACCTAATAATTTTGGCCATACCTAACAATTTTTTCTTAGGTTTTGAAAGTAAAAAATCCATGGAAATGAAAAAAAAATTGAATTTTTTTCTGCAAAATGCGATTTTTTTTTAATAAAAAAATTTAATTTTATGATTTTTTTTTCTTATTTTAACAAAAATTAATAATCATTTTTTATTTTTAATAGTAAAAACTTCATGATTAGAAAAAAATGCAACAAAAAATCTCAAATCTCACAAATAGCTCATCACTGATTCATTTAAATATTGATTTATTCACTTATTTATTTTTGAGTAGGCAATCAGCCGCAAACGTATAGAGAAATTTTAAAATGATATAGTGCATATCGTGGATTAAAAAATCATTCTTAAAAAGAATATTATTATTTTTTTGACGTAGAACGTAGATGTCATTGATATGTCACAACTTTTATCAATAACATAATAATATTATTTATGATTGAAACTTTTTTAAATATTTTAATTAAGGACAAAATATCCCCCAATTTTTTTTTTAAACTGGGGTAGAAGAAAGTTGATTTGATGAATTTTCATTGATATTAAACAGGCAGATATTGATAAAAATTAATTATTTAAGTTATTATTATACCTCATTATTAACATTCAGAAATTAAGTGTTTTAGATTAAGTAAGTTACTTTAAAAACATGTCTTTTCTATCAATAGAAAGAAATAAAATTCTTCAAAATTATAAAGTATAAAATATTCATTAAAATCTCTTAGGCTGAGACTTGTGAAGTACTATCATTGTCAGGACGCTAGAAAACGCTTGACGGCGCACATCGTGCCGAAGGTATCGGAATCAGTCAAATTTGGTACTCTCCCTGTAAGCGCCGAGGGCTCCGTGCTCCGTTTGCGGAATTCTCTGCTGTATGAAATCTTAACTGATAAATTCGTGACTGCTATTATATTATATGAATATTTATTCTGAAAAATTGCAGTGAAAAATGTTATATATGTGTACAATTGAAAATTCAGCTTTCTTTCTTTTACTAAAATTTGAACAAATTATTCCTTCCCTGCTTCCCGCAATGAAAAATAAAATCGGATTTATTGATTCTGTCTTCATCTTTAGGCTTTCTTGTTCGGGCTTGTTGAGCTTATGCCATTCGGCTTCTTTTCGGCTGTGTTGTAGGCCAGGCCACCGGAAAATAATTTAGTGTTCTCTTAACCTGTACCGAAAAAGGTGCGCTCAAAACACATGTTTAAAAATTATGGATCTTACAAAAATGTATAAAAACGAACTTGTAAAACATTCCTATAAAACTTTTAAATTTAGGTGCTAAAAATTGATTGTTGTAAAACTGTAACTGCAAAATATGTTTCCATCAAAAGTTCAAGGATGTGCATTAAAAGGTAAGGAGAATTCTGGCGCAAGGGAAAAAAAGCTTGCTTTTCCTTGGTATAGACAAATGAAGCCTCACCAAAAAGATATTGAATTAATTAATATTTTAATTTATGAAATTATGAGAATCGACATTAATTTTTTATCCATTTGAATTTTTGTCAAGTTGAAAATAATATTTAACAATTTAATTTTCAACAAATGAACAAAATGCAGAGTTACAAAAAGTAATCAGAAAAAATAAAAGGATTGTGACTTTTTCCACTTTTTCTTTTCTTATTACAATAAAATTAAATTTTGTAAAAGATTGTTAATTATTGTTTATTTTTATTATAATCAAGTTATGACGAAAAAATTTAAAATGTGGAATAATTGAGAATATCGCGACCAGACACAGCCGCTGTGGTGCTCTATGCACTGTGGTGGATCTACTCCGTATTATTTGTAACCCACCACCTCTTTCTTACTTACACAATAAAAACAAAAATTGAAGTTAATAAAAACTTGCATAAATAGATATTAATTTAATTTATGTTTACATTATTTATTGCAAAAAGGTTTGCTTGGGTACGGCCGTAATTTAATACGTAACATGCTGCCCGATTGGGGTTAAAAACTAATTTAGTAATTAAATAATAGAATATATAATTTTTGAATAATATGGAGAATATTTAAAATTGTAATAAATATATATTTATTAATTCTATGTATTAATTCAAGTTGGTTATTTGTATATTGCGATTTTCCCTGCAAGCTTATCTTAAAGTTGATATAGTTAGACAGCTTTTATTATAATGCATAATCTAATTAATTGTAATAAAGATAAAAAAAAATAGCAAATTAATTGTACAAATAGAAATAATAAAAGCCTAAATTTAAATTTTTACAATTATAGGTTTAACAGATTTATTTCCGGTCATCCAGAATTTCCAATTGATTGTCGTGTTTATGGAAAATGTTTTCAGATTAAAAAAATATGCAATATTTAATCAAATCATTTAATGTTAATTTTTATTAGTACTTCAATAGGCCACTCCCACAGTTGAGTTGATAAAAACATTTAAATTATTTATTCCACAACTGCAGTGAATTGCAGAAAAACGTCTAATGAATTATTATTATGAAACTATGAATTTGATTTAGAAAAGTCACTGATATAAAAGATAAATATAATATGCATATTTTTAATCAATCTAAAAGATTATAGAGTTTAAAATTCATGGTATTAGAAGAGTAATTAATGAATAAAAACATTTAGCGAGCGAAGCGAGCGCGAAATTTTTAGGTATAGGTTAACCTAATACCTAACGAAATTAACCGGTTACCTAAACCTGTAACCTGTTAAAATAAACCTACCGAACCTATAATAGGTTTTACCGCGGTGCAAAAACGACACCACTAACGCGCTGCCGTAGTATTTCATTCACACTTGATAGAGCCACTTGCTCGACAGCGGCTGCCGACCCTGGCACCATCTAGCCAATTGCAGAGGAAGTAACACCGCTACCAAGGACGGTCATCGCGAGTGGCGCGAAATAGAATTTCTAGATAAATCCTGCGCAATTTAGAAAGTTGGTGAAGAATGTGAAAATTTAAAATAATTGATTGTTTTTCAACAGAAAAATTTTAAACAATTTTTTTTTAGTATAACGCAGCCAATGCAAAATAAAATTACTATATTCTCAATTAAGTCTTTGTGATCAGAAACATATCATCAATCGTTTTATTATTTAGCCTCTTTTTACTGGTCAATCGTGAGAAGGAAATTTTAGATTTAATTAAAAATCGAGTTTATTGTTTTGAATCTATGAAGAAAATTTAATTTTCTGTGTTAATAACTAAATATAATAAATTCCAATATCAGATAAGCAGACTGCAATTAATCACCAGTAATAATTTAGTGACGTAAGTGATCAGACCAAATTAGGAGTGTATCAGTAGAGTGCAAGAGATACATAGGGCGCCCGTTCCAATTAGCGCCAGTCGACTACCCTATCAGGTTCTTCGATGACGCTCCAGTTCGGCGAAGGCACATCCAAGGCAAGCCAGTTGAAGTCATCCACGGCGTGCCAGTGATTCTCGTCCCTGTCCAGTCCTGCCTTGACGAAATGCTCCTCCAGCTCAGGGTAATGCCAGTTGTAGGGTGCAAAGCGGACCTCTTTCGAATCCTCGATGATGGACCGACTGGTCACATGAACGTAGAAGTTGCACCTCCTGTTGTTGTGGATGCGAACCTGCTGGCAGGCAAAGACAAAAGTGCAGTCGGTGCACTTGTCTAGAAATACTGAAGTCGAAACTGGTCCCACCAGAATCTCGCAGGAAGTCAAACTGGTCATGTGGAGGGTACTCGGAGTCCCGTAAAGTCTCACTCGGCAACGCCTCAGATTGGTCAGGACGACGTCCTTCCCTTCAAGATCCTTATCCTTCATAATCAATTCCTCGTCCTCCTTGTCGGCAAATCCACAACTGTTGTCGTTGTAGAGCTGCATGGAAAAGAGTTTCTTCGGAACCGAGTCTACCAAGTCTTCAATTTTGCAGGGAATGATGTCGTCCTTGAGGAGTTTTTTCATTTTGCGCTGCTTAAAGCCAAACTTCTTCTTGGGCAGGAGTTGCTCCTCGAGTATTTCGGAGCGTTGCTGCAGATCCTGCACTTGCTCCTGAGCCTTGCGAATGTTGTACAGAGGCAAGTAGAGTGACGAGTCGGACAGGTAGCGGTTCACTTGCTGCAGTTCGTCGCTGACCTTGTTGAAGTGCTCCGGAAGATCTTCCTTATTCAGATGCACGGCCGCATTCAGACTGTGCTCGATCTCACCCCTTTTGAGGGACAGGATTTCGGAAAAGTAGCGGACACGCTCGACCATGGTTTCGTTGCTCTCTACAACATTCTTTTTCTCCTTCGAGGCCAAACGCTCGTTTTCACGCTGGTTCATGCGCTCTTCAAAGAGCCTGGCTCCCAGACTTTTGTCCATCATTTTGGCAGATTGATTGTAGGCGGCTTCTCTTTAGACTTTTCTATTATTGGGCGCGGACACCGTCTTCGATCTCTTGCTTTGTCTGGCGATAAATAGCAGGGGACTTTCCTTCGGCTGCGAATTTGATTACCGACCCGAAGGAGGCTCGTTGCTTTGCCTCGTCTCCTAAGTGATGGACTTGACCTTCAGGGAGGTGCTGCAACAGAAACACAAGAAAAATCAGCTTTTGTCAATAAATGGCAAGCAAAACCAGTTTCTAGGCGAAACGGAGATGATTATATAATTTCAATGCGCAACCTTGAAGATGATGATGCAATTATTAGTGCATAAATGTCAGCATTAAACTGGGTTTGCTGCCCTCTTTAACTGTAAATATTACTTTTCTTATGTCTACTTCGTCAGGAGTGACGCTCTTAAAGAGGACATAGCCCAGAGCCGAAAAACCAGCCAAATAGACGATAGATTTGACGGCCATGTTTAGACTCTTACTTTAAAGTTTTCCTTCAGCACGCCAGTACTCCAAATCGATTTGTCGAGTGCGGTCGTTCTTCGAGAGCAATTCTTCAACCTTGTAATAGTCTGAAATGAAAGACAGGAAATTAATGTCAGGCCGTGCGATTATGATTTTTGCAAAGTGGGTGTCAGCCTTTGCGGATGAATACCGTACGTAGGCATGAAAACAAGGTCATTCCGCTAATTCTCGGAATGTGTACTCACTTTCCAAAATCCAATTGTAGTTCTTGAACAGGTAGAAACGAGTGTCTGCAAACGTTGAGACGTAATTTAATGCAATTTCCGATGGAAAGAACTAGAAATTAGCAATACCTCTGTCGCTGTTTACGCGTGTCCACCCTAGGTAAGTCGCAGCGAAGGCGAGCAGCTCCAATCCAATGACGACTTTGATACTTTTGACGACAAATCCGCTGGGTTTCTGCACCTTCTGAATCATATTAATCGACGACCTGCGCGAAAGAAGCGAAATTAGGCGGAAATTAAGCGAAATTCTTGGCAAAAACAAGCAAAATGTGTGCAGATGACGAAGAAACTCACCACCAGGTGACTCAGTGCGCCGCCATCTTGGTTTAACACAAGAAGTATAAAATGTGAAGGAGGAAGGGGGCAGTCTGATTTTATGGGTACCAACAATTGCCTAGTACGATCAGCTCACCGCTTGGTTCGCATGGTCGTTATGAGTCTCAAATCAAACCAGCGGCAAAACCTATGAACCAAGGAGCCATGAAACTGCAAAGTGCAAAACGTGATGACTTTGACGACTTTTACAGTTTTACTCTGAAATCAGAAAATTGTTAAAAAAAAAGTTTCCAAAAATTCACCACCTAATAGAGAAATAATTTATACACGCTGTAAGTATTATTTGATCAAAATTTATGCGGCTTATAAGCTTCGATAAAAAAGTTAGTTGAAGCCTGAACGCCTAGCTGAAGCCTTAAAGCTACTTTAATTTAACACATAAAGTGAATGTAAAGTAAAGCAATGCAAAGTAACCATAAATTCTACTCGGAATATTTTTCTGTTAACAGCATATTTCCACCAGCATTATTATCTTTTTTATAATAGATTATCAGCCTATTTATTGCTATTTATCATATTTATGAACAAAAAGCATATGCTAATAATGTATTTTTTAATCAATTGAGCCAAATTTATCTTAATTTCTAGGACTTCAATCAAAATATTAATGAAATATTTAATAAAAAAATATTTGAAATCCATAAATATGCTTCCATAGAGCCGCAGCCTGCAGCCTGAATGTAAAAGGCAATAATTCCAGCCTCATAACCACTTTTGAGCGCCATTGCGGATTTTCTGTGAAGTAAAAGGTGATGTTGTATCCACAATTCAAAGGTAAGAGTTGCCACTTTTTTCTCCTTGGCATTTTATACCTCTTGGTTTAACAATAGGAATCGATTGTTGGCCGACGAGTTGCAACGTGAAGACTCGCCCCGCCCACTTTTCTCGTTTCTCCTGCAGCCACGCGTGCCCTGACTTGAGTCTTCGGCTGGCCTGCGAGCCATCCTGGGAACAGTGACGTCATCCTTCCAAACAGATCGGTCAGCTGCTTCTCTTGAGACGAGTGCGAGTTGGGTTGAAAAAAGCTGCGAAAAAGTTGGCAGCCGAACAAATTTGTCGACGGAAAAGGCGGCGCACTCCCCGAAATTTCATCACGGCGACGCCTTAGCAAGCCTGGCCTCGAGCGGGGAGTCAGACGACGGTGGACTCGCTCCGCCACCGCGTAAAAAACAACGCACTCTGGAGGAAGCTACAATGCAGCAGGCAGCAAATGGCACTGTTAATGGAGTCTCGGCCACCGCGAACGGCGCTGGCGAACCCTCGGGCAGCGGACGCCAGAACGGCTCCGACACCTTCGCTGGCATGACCAACGGCGAGGCGGCCTCCAACGGCGACCTCGGCTCGCCCAAGCTAATGGACAGAACCAACCACGACATAGTGCGCCTCATAGGTCAACACCTTCGGACCATTGGCCTCAAGTACGTTTGTTGCTCACCATTTTGCAATTTTTCCGCGATTATTTTTACACACAGTATCGAACGGAAGACGCAGTTGCACTCCGTGACCTTGACGTTTTCCTTTGGAGAACAGGGTGTCCCGATTTATAATTTTTTCGCCAAAGGCACATTGACCCCGCACTCTCCCCCAGTGGGCGCATGCGATTTTAATTTTATTACGCCAGGTTATAATTTCACGCGCACATCGCCTGGCCGCGGTCCAACGCCTGTTTTGCTGCGTGATCGGAGTACTTTGTGATTTATTTATTTTATTCATTAACTCGCTCCTGTGTCATTGGGAAACGTGTGCAAGCAGTTTCTCGCAACCTCGCACTTCTTGCTTGTGTCAAACTAAATACGCAGCGCCCGTTTATGGTGTCAGCAGCATAGCAACAACTCTCCCAATTTAAATGGCTCGAGAGCGAACCAGCTGATTTCAAACCGAGTGAGTTTTGCTCTTTTCGAGCAAATCAATACGACACACAGGGTTCCCAGCTCGCATGTCACATGCACGACGTTTGCCTTTGGCCAAACCTTGTGTGGCTGCCGAGGCGAAATTTAGTGGGTCGCTTACGAGGAAAGCCATTGTTCGGAAATAAAAATTCGTGTGCACCCGTTATATGTCATTACGATAAAATTCGCCCCTGCTGTGAAACAGCTGCGAAAAAAGTATAACAGGGAAAATGCTGTGACTTTTTGAAATTTTTTTAAGTGCAAAAAACTAAGAGAATCGATCAGGAACAATTTTTCAAAGGAATAGCAGTATTACTTTTATTGCAGTTCCAGAAATAAATTTCAGGGAAATCCCTCTTAATTATAAGCAGGAAGTTGATGAAAGCCAACTTTTTTTGTTTAGAGCCATTAAATTTGCTTTTCCTTTTTCCTGTTAATTTTCCCGAAAGACAGGAGCGAAGCTTAAAAGAGAGCTTGAAACTTTTATTGACAAGTTTAGTGCTTTTTAGAGAAATTTATATTTGTATTGAATTGAAAGCTTTAAAAGAAACTTTGCACTTTTATAAATGACATCTATTTTAATCATATATATAAATAACTTAAAAAATAAAAAAATTTAAAAAAAAATTCTTAACATTTAACAACTGAGATTTTATACAAAATACTTCAGTTTTAAACCATTCCTACTAAAAAATATATCATCAATTATCAAGATTATGGAAAGTTCATATTTATTTTATAGTTGCAGGCTTAAAAAAACGTTTTTATTTTTGCAAAAATTAGTTGTCAATGCGTTGATAATTTAATGAAATATAAATCTATTCTAATTCTAGTTGAAACACTGAAAATTTTATTTGACTAACATTCATTAGGGCAGCATGAAACTGCTGACTAATTTCTAATTATTATCCCCCTATTTATTTAAAAGTTTTTTTTTATAAATTTCACAAACTGGGTTCATTGACCTGCAATCCGATCTCACTCGAGCAAGTCTGTATCGTGAACTCAATTAAATTACAATAATTACTTCTAAGTGAACAAAAGTTACCGCGTGAACAACTTTTGCTCTTGCCCGTCTTCAACTTTTCAAATTCCACTTTCATCGAGCGCCTGAAGCAAATCGGTCGGAGAAAAAACCGCAGATGGCGAGTGCATTATTATTTCTTGGAATCACACCAATTTCGCCAGGGGTGTGAATTGCGTCTACTCTAAGGAGATGGCTTAAAATTTTCTTAAGTCCTTATTAATTTGATTGTCAAGGAATTGCGGCGATAAAATCTTAAAAGCGCTTTGAAGCTGCGGCCAGCGCGCCGTGCGACGAAAAGATTTTATTTGCACTTGTGATGCGTTCTCTCAATGAACCCATTTTTATTTTCAGCCGCACTGCAGACATGCTGATGCAGGAGTCTGGCTGCAGATTAGACCACCCGACAGCTGCTAAATTCCGTCAACACGTTATGGATGGGGACTGGAATAAGGTAATAAAAATTTTTGTAATTTTCGTTATTTTAAGTAGCATCTGATGTTAACGTTGTTTTTGTTAAATTCATTTTTTTTCTAGTGCTTATTTGATTAAATATTTTCTGTGTGCTAATTTTTAAAAAATTAGATTGTTAATTAATTTTTATTTTCTACAGGCTGATAATGACCTTTTGGAGTTGAAGGGTCTGCTAGAAAACTCCACGCAGAGTCTGGTTGTAAGTTCCTATTAATATCTTTTGAAAATGTTTCTAATTCTTGACATCGATTAGGAAATGAGGTTTCTCATAATGGAGCAAAAATACTTGGAGTTTCTGGAAGACGGGAAAGTTTTGGATGCGCTTCAAGTTTTGCGCCACGAATTGACGCCTCTCCAACACAACACGACTCGAGTGCATGCTCTCAGCAGGTAATGACGCTTATCAATCTTTCTGATTTAAATCCAGGATGAATCATTTACATTGTCTTTAGCCACTTGCGCAAGATAAGCAGGATTTATTAATTCTTGCTCAACACATTCCCGTCACTGTTTTTATTTATCACACCTTTTGAACCCAATATTTCAAGAATGAATAATATCTGAGGGTGTCATATTAATTAAATTTTCTTCTTGGCAGCTTCATGATGTGCAGCGGGCAGGACGAACTGCGAGTCAGAGCAGATTGGAAAGGCAAAGGCCTTGAGTCGCGCACAATTCTTATGGAGAAGCTGCAACATTACTTACCACCGTCTATTATGCTCCCACCTAAGAGGTAGCCTTTGAAGTCGGGCGTATTGATTTTCAAAGTAACTCACACCGCTCTCTGTGTCAGGTTGTATTCACTGCTGTGTCAGGCTGTTGAGCTGCAAAAGACACGCTGCCCTTACCACAACAATCAGTGTGATGATGGACTGATCGACGTCTCCCTCCTCGTGGACCACCTGTGCTCAAAGTATTAATTCATTTCTTTATCTCATTTCGTTGATGCAATTTATATGTGTGTTCAAAAGCGTTTACAACGTGACCAAATTGTGTTTCAGGGAAGAGTTTCCTTGTGAAACAGTGCAGGTTCTCAACGACCACTGCGACGAAGTGTGGTTCTGCAGATTTTCTCCGGATGGTCTCAAACTCGCAACTGGCTCAAAAGACAACACCGTTATCATCTGGGATGTTGATCCTGTAATATAAATATTTCCATTGATTATAAATTTCCTCTATTTTATTTGTGCTTAGGAAACGCTGACGTGTAGTGTCAGAAAAACACTCGATGGACACTCCTATGGAGTTGCGTACATGTCGTGGAGTCCTGACGGCACTTACTTACTTGCTTGTGGACCTGAAGACTGTCCTGAGCTGTGGGTTTGGAACATAGACACTGGTGACATCCACTGCAAGGTGACGAACAATACTGAAGACTCTCTGACTTCATGCTCTTGGCACAAGGACGGAAAGAAGTTTGTCACTGGAGGAACTCGGGGTCAATTTTATCAATGTGTATGTGTTTTCAATGTGAATTTGCAAGTTCGGTAATTAAATGAGGAAAAATTAGGATCTTGATGGCACTGTCTCCGAATCATGGGATGGTGTCCGTGTCAACTGCCTGTGGTGCCGCAGCGACGGGAAGACTGTTTTGGCTGCAGATACTCATCATCGAATCAGAAATTACAATTTTGAATTTCTTCAGGACTCAAATGTGTATGTTGACACTTGAAAATTTAATGATTTTATCACTTTAACTTTAAAATTCAATTCATTTTAGAATCCAAGAGGACCATCCCGTAATGGCTTTTTCTGTAAATAAAGCCGATCGCTTAGCCTTACTTAACGTTGCCACTCAAGGGGTCCATTTGTGGGACCTGCAAGATCGATGCCTTGTGAGAAAGTTTCAAGGAGTCACTCAGGGGCACTTCACCATCCACAGCTGCTTCGGGGGTATCAACGAGGAATTTGTTGCAAGTGGAAGTGAAGGTTTGAATTTGATTTTTAATATCCCAAGAGGAAATAACTGTTTTTTCATTTTAATTTTAGATAATAAGGTGTACATATGGCACATTAAGCAGGAAATCCCAATTGCCACCTTGGAAGGCCACACTCGCACAGTGAACTGTGTTTCGTGGAACCCCGTCTACCATGAAATGCTCGCCTCTGTATCGGATGACAACTCGGTCAGAATATGGGGCCCTTCTCAAAAGTACCGCCGCACTAAAAGCAAACCAAGTAATTGAGGACAGATAGTGTATTTTGCAGTTTTTATTGTGTGCAATCCACAGGTCTGACTGAAGATAGCTCGTCGTCCAATGGAAGTAGTGGGGCTTGGCATGAGATGATCTCGTAGCTGGGCGTTGGTGACGATGAAGCTGCAAATTTTGGCAAATGTTCGCTATCTTAATCCTTGGAAGAGGTCTTGGCAGAGCCTTTGTCATGATTTAAAAAATGTAATTTCTGTAAAAGTATGATTAGTATTTTTGAGGTTCTACTGGTCCGCAATAACAAACAAGCAAGCATGTCAAGTGAAGCTGCTCACGCAACGTCAAAACCGTCTTCACCCTGTGTCGACTTGTACCGTTTGTGATCAAAGACTAACTTGATTGCAGCAGTGGTTTATTTCATCAGCCGAGCTATGGACAAAAAAGACTGAACTACAAATATAATGATAATTTCATCAAAGGCCTTTACTGAATCATTAATGGATACCGCCAATAATTTAAGTTGCACTTCATTGATTTGTTTTGCATTGGGTTCTATCCAATAGGTTCAAGTTGCGCTTTTCAATTTCTCGGTGAATCTCCAAAAAAAATCAAAATTAATGTTTCAATAAAGCAGCATAATCTCTCTGCTTTGTAAATATTGTGTATAAGAAAGCCGTCATCTTCTCAGTTCTTTACCAAGTCTTTCATACACTGGTTTGATCTTCGCAGAATGCAGTGATTAATTACATAAACCACATCTTCGGGTCAATATGATTTCTAGATTAAATTGCAGAATTTTTATTGACTTATTTTGATTTCTCATCAATGCCAAACTTAAAATCAACATCTTCTATCCTAACCTTCCCTTGTGCAGTGATAAAAGAAGTTCAAAGGTTATTGTACACTTCTGTTTAAGAAGTGCCTTTCTTGTCATTTTCTTTTTGATTCTTGTAGCTACTTCTAACAACTGTGAAGAATCAAGCGGAGGCACTTTTTAAAACGGATATTTGTGTAAAAAGATATGCAATCTGTAATGCAAAAAGAAAATTATAGCAAATGAGCTCCTGTAAAATCTATATAAATGAATAATATTTAGTTTTAGGACTCTCCTGGTTAAGCTAATCTTGCTTACCTGGACTATTCGTGTTATTTTTTTGTTTTTCATTTTTGTACAGTTTCAAATATTAAATTTTGGTTCAAATCATTTGCAAAACTCTTAAAACCATTTATTTTATTTTCATTTTAAACTTCCAAAGTTCTCGAGGGAGCAGTGCGTTGTGCATAGTTCTTGATGTTGTGCTTGTGAACAGATTGTGTATAAAAGAAAAATTAGAAATTTGGTAATGGTCACAACACCAGCTAATCGATGTTTTGGACTCTGTAAACTTATAATCGTGGTAGAGCATGGCGTACTTTGATGAGTTTGATAACAAACTCGGAAAGAAGTCCTTGTCATTATTTTGGTAATGATTGCTGTACATTTGAATAACTGATGACCGTGTCAATCACTCTATATAATATTTATGCTTTAATTCTTTGAGGCAAATGTTTTAAACCTAGATTCATTTTTAACGCCTCAAACACTTGTTTTTTATTAAAATATTTTGACGACGAAGGGTATTTTTTCATACAAAGATACATTGACTGTGGCAGTTTGTTATATTATTTGCGTGGTTACACTCTTTTCTAATTTAATCAATTAACAACCTCAATAAAATTTCCCTTTTTACAATAGCTGCCAGCTTTTTTAATTCCTGTCCTGATACCTAGAAAAATAATCAGTGTACAAAAATCATATCTGATGGCCCTGAGGTGCTCTTGAAACATTCTCTAAACATCTGGCATTTTACAGATCTTTACAATTTAAACTCCAATTTTGTCAGCGAGGGAACAAGAGAGACCGGTGCCGTCAGGCTCCACGTTGATCGACTGCACCTTGCCATTCTCCACAACCATGCTGTAGCGCTTCGAACGAACTCCGCCAAGTGGAGCAATATCCATGTCCAGCTCAACTGCCTTGGTGAACTGCGCTGTTGTGTCAGCAAGCATGCGAATCTTAAAAATTCAAAATTTGTTGGAATGGAATATATGTGCTATTTGATGTGTTAATTACCTTGCCCTTCGCATTCTGGGCAACTCCCCAGGCGTCCATGACAAACGGATCGTTCACAGAGATACACACGATCTCGTCAATACCCTTACTTTTCAGATCGTCCGCCTTGCTCACATAGCTAGGGAGATGAGTCTGAAATTTTAAACATTAAAAAGAATTATTAAATTATAAAAAAATATATTCCAATTTAATAAATTTGTTAAGAGCTGGTTGGAAAATTTATAAAAATGATTTAAAAAATGTTTTTTATCTGAGAAAGCAGAAGTTTTTTTTATTAATTTTAATTATACTCTCGACATTTTAACAAGTCATTTAATACTATTAATAATAAGGTGACTGAAAAAATGAGATTTATTTGTCATGAATGAAAATTGAAAATTTTGCATACTTAAATTCCCTTTCTTGAAATTTGCAAGCTTAAAAAGTTAAACGGTGGGACTGGTATTGGGTATACGTGACCGAAACAATGTATGTTAATGGCATACATTGGAGAGACTACGGCAGTTATGCCAGTGACAAATATAACTTTTCAAGTGACCTTGGAGCAGCCTGGTGTAAAGGCTCCAGGAACGGCAAACACGATGACTTTCTTGTTGGCGCAGAGGTCGGCAATGTTGACTTTGTTGGCGGGAGAGGCCTCGAAGAGGTCAACGCTAGGAACTTGGTCTCCAACCTGGCGAAAATATTAGCATTTTAATTCAGAATTTTTTCACATTAATTGGAAAATTATTATGAAAAAGACAATGGAAACTGCTAGACGAAATTTTAAGTGAATTTTTTACGTACTTTGATGGGCATGTTGAGAAGTGAGCTGGAATGCACAAAGCGAGGGCTGATGGCACCGAAACTACTTTTGATCGCGTTGAGGGGTAAGCGAAGACTGGCAAGCATAACTTGCACAAAATGTTGGCCTTTAAAGAAAGAAAGATTGAGTGTCTTCCTTCTTGTGTTCTTGTTGAATTTTCAGATTAGATTGATGCCGGCCAGCTGTATGGACTGTATGGACTATGGAGGTGGAACAAAAGTGGTAAGCAGAGGAGAACAAAGAAGAAACTTAAATTTTTTCATTTTCCCTGTTTTTTATAAAAACAAAAAGTCAGAAAAGTCTCTATTATCAGTTCATAGATATTTAAAATGATTTTTACACATACAAAGAAGCTTAAGAAGCGAATTTTTTTAAGTATTCTAATTGTGGTATTAGATCCTTGATTAAACCTCTTCGAGCGTGAGTCACCTGCTGCCATCTGTGTGACAGGGCAGCCGGAATTTTGTTGACAAATCGAATTTATTTAGCCGGAATTTGTATTTTTTTAATTATTTACCTTCATTTCAATTGCTCGCAATGTAGAGATTGGTGAAAATCGAAAGTCATCAAGGACGACCGCTAGCTATGCATTCGCACCACCACCCAAGTGGCTCTCATTCTAAAGAAAACGGACACTCTCATCACCATCAACACAGCCACCATCATCACCACCACGACCATCTTCACACAGAGATTGATCTAGGTTGATGATTTTATAAATTTAAATAATTGATAACAGAATAATTAACAATCTCTTTATTACTACTTCAGGTGCTCAAGTCGAATCCAGCCTACTTCAGGTACTTTTTTTCCAGAAAAATTAAAAGTAGAAAAAAATTTTAAAAATTAAAATTTTTTCAGCGTCGATATGGATCTTTTTGGCAGAATATCAGAAAAGAAATTGGACCATTAATAGGACAGGCCCAGTCTAGACGGTTCGTGTTCTTGCTGGTTGCAAATTTGATTTGCAGCGTTCTCCTTTTTTCATGGTGCGACAGCACCAACAGCATAGGTAGGCTATACAAACTAATATTTTATTTAGCTTAGTTCAATTATTTTTAAGCACTGGAGGCCTACAGCTACACGATATGGTTCAATTTCCTAAGTCTGCTGACCAGCCTGCTTTCTTTGTGGGTCTCCGCAAAAGGACCCAGCCACTATTACACTCTGGGCTACGAACGATTCGAAGTCCTTGCCGTCTTTGCCAGCACCGTCCTTGCTCAATTGGGAGCCTTGCTGGTGGCCAAGGAAAGTGTAGAACGACTGCTCGAGCAGCCAGATATACACACGTAAGGAAAAAAAATTCGAGTAATTTCGCATTATATAAAAAGTTAATTTCAGTGGTCGACTGTTATTGGGAGGTGGCGTTGCATTTGGGAGTCACCTGCTGGTGCTCTACGGCAGTCGCAATCCGGCCCTTGAACATGTGATGGGCGCCGCTTCGTCAAGCTGGTTGCAGGACCACGTGTCCGACCTCAGCCACACCTTGTGCTCAGCAATGCCTCCGCTGAGGTCGCTCCTGCTGCCAAGGATCAATCCGATGCTCCTTGTTTCCTTAGCAGGATTCCTCTCTATACTTTTGACTAATCTACTGATAGAAATCAGGTCTGTGTTTATTGTAGACTATAAAGAATTTAATCAATAACATTTCTGTTAACCTTTAGGGACTATCACATGATGGACACCCTGGCTGCATTTGTGATTATCATTGTTACCTGCGCTACCATGTTTCCGATGAGCGTGTACAGTGGCAAAGTTTTGTTACAGGTACATTAAATTTAACCTAATTTTTTTAAGCAGTTGTTTTCAAATTTTGGTTATTATTTTAGACGACGCCTGCTCACATAGTGGGTCAACTTGATAAGTGTTTACGGGAGACGCTCACTATTGATGGTGTCCTCGAGTTCCGTAATGAGCATTTTTGGACTCTCTCCTTTGGAAAGCTTGTAAGACTTGCTATAATAATTTTTGGTTAATATTTAATTTCATTACTTAACAGGCCGGCTCACTTCACGTCAGGGTGAGAAGAGACGCTGATGAGCAGAAGGTGCTGGCTCAAGTCATAGCAAGACTTTCGCCCATAGTCCCCGTACTTCGAGTACAAGTGGTCAAGGACGACTGGCAACATTCCTCGTCATCGCTCTTCTCGTCGCCGCAAGTGGCCTTTCCGCCATCCCCGTTCACTTCCGTGCAACCAAACAACAACCTGCTTTTCTCAGGAGTAACGTCGCTTGATCCCGACAAATTTCCATTTAAACCTCACTGATTGCGGCGTTTTGTGCGATTATTAAAAAGTGATTGTCTGTATCAAAATAATAAAATTTTCTTGATTTATTAATACTTCGTAATTGTTTAATTTCAGTTAATGTTCTTAATTATGCAAAATAAATTAGTATTAGCAAATCGTAAAATAAAAATATTTTTTAGATAAATAACTAATGCATTTCTCCTATGAAGATTTTTCAAATTTTAGATAACATTTCAGTATGAAAATTTATTTGTAATTTGTAGCAACACACTAGACTTGAATAATTGAAAAGGCTCAAAGTAATTCAATGAATATAAAAAATGATACGATTAAAAAGTGCTTTTTAGTTTCAAACAAATCCTGTCTTAAGCGCCACCGTCTCGACCAATCAATTCGCTCAGAGAAACCACGCAAAAATGTCAACAAAGGCATGCCAAAAACTCGCCGTTCTTGTTCAGACAGGCAAAAAGAGCGACAAACTTGCCATTAGGAAGAACCAAGGCGTCGGGAAAAGAAAGCGAGCGAGACGAAGAGACAAAAGAAGGTTGAGGAACAGAACAAACCAGCATCAGCAAGGCAGACGAAATTTTCCTCCACGAAGAGTTGCAGATCACCACAATCGTCTCCCAGCCATGAATCAAAAACAGCCTGGCCATGCCTTCTGGGAAAATTACAAAAATGCCATGGAGTGGCAGAACAAGCATTTCATCAATTATTGGAAGGCTCGCTGTGCTGCTTTAGAAATGGAAAACCAGCACCTGTACCGAGCCCTGGAGCAAGTCACATGCTCCAGTGGTGAAAATAATAATTTTCAGCAGGTAAAGTTTGGTCTTCAAATAATTTTATTTATTTTAATAAGCCATATGTATTTTTCACAGAATGAGTCAAATGAAGGCAATAAGAGTGATTATGGACCTGAAGATCTCAACGACGAGGAAGTGAATGAGCCTCAGGAGGAAGTGCAAGAACAGAAAGAACAAGTTGAGGAAGATCTTTACGAAGGCGAGTGTGTCGAGGAAGAGATAGAGGAAGACTTTACCTTTGAGGTGGATGGCCAAATGCTTGAGTTCCTCGAAATCTCTGCCAAACACAAAATTGAACTGAGTAATTTTCTTAAATACTTAATTTCAATTTGAAATTGTCTTTCTCTTGATTTTATTCTAGAAAAGAAAAGGGATGCTGAGAGGGAGCTTGAAGATGCTGAGGGAAACAAAGAGGGTAAAAGATTTAGAGATGAGGTAAAGTGAATAAACGATAGCTTAATTTTTGCTTGCACATATTTCAGAAGAAGAAAAGAAGCTGCCAAAGCAAATCATGGAGGAGCGTAAATTGGAGATGGAGAGGTTGTATGGTGCAGAAGCAGCACCCATGATATTGGGCATGGAAACAGCCATGCAGCTCAGCTTTGACAGGTTCAACGACAAGTACCACCCTAAACACTGGCCCAATATTCCACTGAACTTGTGAATCTAAAGTGACTTTATTTGTGACTATTTTCATTTCCAGTTCGGTGATATTAGTTATTTAAAATGCAAGATGAATTTAAACTTTAACAAGACTCAAGGAAATTAAATATTTAGAAAAAATAATAATTTTTATTTTCCAGAAACAATAAAATGAAGAAATATCTTTGGTAAAATATGATTTTAGTTAAAAAGGTTAAAAATATGAAAAATATTTTAAACATACAGCTCCCTATTCATAATGATATAAAAAAAAATAGAATGAGTAAACAATTATGTTTTTGAAACAAACAAAATTGGAAAGAAAGATCGATAGCGCATAGTATTCTAATACGTCGCATAAATCCAAAGCAAAAATCAATTTATACAAATAAAAGCACCGAGAAAGGTTTAAATATGAGATTTCCGGAGCTCAATTTAAACCTTTTAGGGAAAAATCAAACATATATCTATTATCAAATTGTACAAACTGTCGCAATAGCCACCTTGCATTTTCGGTTAAAGCAAAATTTTGAAAATTTGCTTTTTTAATGGTTGAAATTTTAATGCTGTGTATTGTATTGTTCCTATTTTACTTTCCGTCTTCTCTTAATGTTAAAATTTCTGATCAATCAAAATTTCCAACGGCGAATAGAGCTCAATCAATTTGCTGCAACATGGGAGAAATAATTTTTATTATTTTACGCCCTAATATCATTAATAGTTGCTGTGGAATTCCGACGGTAGAGGTCATCAGCAGGACTGTTACAAGGGAATGAGCATCAAGTTGTAGGTATGCAACCTGCACGTCTGCACGATCCTTTCACACAGCTTATAGTTTTGGACATTTTATTCCCCATATATTTTGCGCTCGCTCTTTAGATAGAAACTTTTTTAATTTGTCCGATATAAAAACGAAGTAACCACAAGTGCATTCAAAAAGACGCCCCTCGACATTTTGGTTATTAGCATTTCCCGGCACTCACAATGCGTCCGAAATTATGCATAGTTATTCTGCCTTCTGGGGATAATTTTTATGATATTTCCCTGAAAAGCAAAACACATATAATAACACACAACGCGTCGCACAACCCTGAATACCTTTCCCTCTCGTAAGCCGGTGGGTACATACGTGGTGTGCAAAGTGCGTTTTTTTTTTTATTTTCCAAATTACAATTTCAAATGGCCGGCTGGTGCGGTTTAAATTCAAGTGCGCAAACATTCACTGGCCGGCCCCACGGCGTGAATAAAATACATGTCATTGCTGAAAAGAGATTCAAGCTGCATCAGCCCTATAATCAGCACGGTAGGATTTCTCGAAATGCCAAATTAGGACGTGTACAACGGTAGGGCCGGTGCTGGAAAGGAGGTTTCTCTGGCTCAAAGTCTCTCTCTCTGCAAATCAATAATCACACTACGATACCCGAGGCGCCTCTCGAAGGATGAATCGCACAAAATATCATATGTATACCGTTGATAATGCGCAATATGTATGTCATTATTCGCAGTTTGCATGCCGAGAACGGAACACTTGTTGAAAAGCTTGACCCAGCTTGAGCTTGCGTGAATAGTGAACGAGACTCGCAATTATTCGAGCAAGACTGCAGCAAAATTTGAATAAAGCCAATGCCGTCGACTGCTGCACATTCCTTCAAAAATGCCGCTAATTTCGTTGCACCCTGAAGAAGGGAATAAAAATGGGATGATTAACGAGTTTTTTGTTCTCACATTCCTCTACGTCAGGAATTATTTAAATCTTTCTTTGCGATTAACAATCTCACCTAATTCAGAATCATTTCAGATCTGTATTGGATTATTTTTTATTACTAATACACGCCACTTAAATTATTCAACTATATTCTTCACAGAAAAGTTTTTCAATGCCAGTTCTAGTTTTAAACGAAAATTCTTTATATTCGCAAAAATAAATGCAGGCATAAATTGATAAAATGAACAAGCAAATGCAGATTAATATATAAATTTCTTAATGCTTCTAATTTCATATTTACCTTTCATTATCTGATTATGATTATCTCTTTTATGGATCAGTCACGAGCGCATCATTTTATTCAATTTTAGATCATAAAAAAATTCTTCAAGAATTATTTTGGAAATGAAGTTTATGCTATATTTATTTCATACAATTTTGGTGCTGAACTTAACATTTAAAAATTAGTATGACATGTGTCTATTATTTTGTGTATTTTTGTGAAGAAATAGCCCAAAAAGTATAATAGTTTTGGAAGTGTTAACCCATTTATAAGGAAACAGACAAAGTGTGATCCCGAATCCTTTTCTGCACGATTTAGAGGCACCTCCGAGAACCGCCGCTGACAAATTGCTCTCGCGGCAAATTCACCGATTTCAATTTCCTGCAGCTTTTCTACGAACACGGTGCATTTCGCGTCTCTTCTGCGGTCGCCTGTCAGTTTTATGTTATTATAAACTCATCCGCGGGGCCGGCCGGCGTCATATCTGAAGCTCACAATAGAATGCAGAAATGCTGCCGCGCGCAGCCGAAAAAGAATAAGTAGTTGCTCCATGAAATGATGCTCGCCGGGTCTGAAAGTATCAATTATAGAGCGATTAGGGTCCCCATCTAGCATACCTGGTGGTGGTGCCATCAGAAAAGCAGGCGCTGGATATTACAGGCTGTGCCTTTTTATAGCGTTTCGCCTCGAGGGGCGCTTTTCCCTCGTGGCTGTGCCACAAATGTCCTTCATTATTGTCAGCGCAGAGCATCTTATATGTGCTATGGCTGCACTCCCGAAAGAAAAAGGAGACCAATAGGCAGTCGTCAGATCGAATCTGAACAATATAATTATTGGCCGACGTCTATAAGACAGACGTGATTAAACCGCAATATCTATCATTTCGATCTGTTTTGGAACCGCCGCCGCCGCCGCGCGTATATATTGTATTATTTTCTCCCTTTTTTCGACGAGTTTTTTGCTTTGCTATAATTACGGGGATAATGAGATGTGATTGCAGAGCATACGATTCGTGTGGCAAAAGGAAACCAAAAACTAATACAATAATAATTCTTTTACTGGTTTTGGGAAGAAAGAAATGAGAAGTCAGGAGAAGTATAAAGTATAATATGTGTTTTGAAAAAAGTGATATAAAACTGATAAGGTTCGCTGCACTTTTCGTGAGCCCAACCAGATTTTTAAACAAAAACCAACAAAATTCCTCAATAAAAAGTCCCTTCCACTTATTATGTTAAATAACAAAATCAAATATTTTTTATTTATCTTTTTAATTCCGTTTGATAAGCAGATCAAACTTTTTTAAATCGCAATTATTTTATAAACAGCCAATGTTATAGAAACAAAAAGTTGTTTTAAGTTTTGATTGGGGACCCTGGTGTACATTTATATTAATGATATTATTTTATTTTAAGAAGAGAGTTTTAGATTCTGTTACAGAAGGCATGCATCATTAAATAATGTTGCCTTTCGGCTTGAAAACATTATTGGAAAATTGAAGCATCATTTATTTACTGGCATTTCTCATTTTTTATGTAGAGTATGATTGAAGCCAGAAAAATAAAAAGGGGGCAAATAAGGAAAATAAGTTTATAGGTTATTTTTAGTTTTGCAGGTTTGATGAATTTCAGAGGTTTTGATTTATTTTAATGTTAGTGTAATTCTTTTCATGAATTGAATTTTTATCATTTCCATAATTGAATGGCTTAAGAAATGTTGACTGCAATGAGCTTAATAAAATAATAATTAATTAAATTTTAAACAATATTAATTTTCCCGCATTGAAAGTAAAGTTAATTCTCAAACTGCTATATTACAAATGTTTAATTTAATTTATAAACCGTTAACCAAGACTCGCATTAATTTACATATTTGAGTTTAGATAAAGGGAATTTAAAATAAAATGCAAATTGAAACACGACTTTAAATTAAAAAGATAGTGTATCGCATCTATCCTCTATATATACGCGACCCACGTGTGGGAACTGGCAAGTGTAGGATATTATGGATTCTCTCTCTCTACTAAATAAAAATAGACTGAATCCATTAATTTTTATTGTTGTGCTCGCAGTATGGAGTGCTTGCAAGCGCGCTCTGTGCAAGCGGCCACTCACCATTAATCCACATTAGCCATAGCACACAATAAATTATGCGAGAAAAATTTCCGAGAGATAAAATTTACAAAGAGCGAGATGCAAAATTGCTTTATTTAATTTAATGCACACGATTGAATACAATAGATCAGCGATAGAACGGGCAGATAAGGTATATACATATTGTGCGCGGCAGCAAAAGTATGTTAAATTATATAAATACGTATACATGCATGTTATTTATCTACATGCATATCCTGCTGCAACTCGGCGAGTGAGAGAGCGTCTCTCTCGCGCGCGCGGTGCAGAATTAAATGTACTTTATGCTAAAGTGACTCTCGCCGCGGTCTCTTCCTCTCTAAAAGCTTATGTGCCATTTGTGCATATGAAAAGGAGTCGACGAGCTTGCAGTGCATCCCACGCGAAATTTCTGCCGCGCATTGTATGCAAGAGGCCTCGCAGAATGAGCGCAGGACAAGCCATTTTCCGAGTAGAATTATTTGTCATTGTCGCATGAATAAGTAATTTACGTTCGGCCGACTGCTCTTCCCTTTTTTCACGGCAAAAAAATCACGCAACGGCGTTTTTTTTTCGCATTTGTGAAGAGGATAATTCGATTTCAAGATAAAGGATATCTATTTTATTATTTTTTTTATTCTAATAAACACAAAATATATTATGAACAAGAAAAATTCCAAATTTAATTATTGTTTCCTTGCTCATGTTCTTTTTTTTAAATTTGCATTGAAATTTTAGGTGCAGGTAAAATGTTGAATAGATTAGTAAGGAAAACTAGGAAAACTGATCTAAGTCTTCATTAAAAACTTAAATTGACCAGTATCACTTAAATAATCGATATTTTTAAGTTGTTTTTAAACTTTATAATTTATCCCAATATCATAAAAATAAAAAATCATAAAGATAGGTCTGGAAAGGTCTATAAAATACCAAAAATTATTTGAGCTCTATCTTGCCAGGAATTATTTAAAATTTTAAAAAGAAGAGAACAAATTAAAATTATTTAAGATATTTGCTTAATTTAAGGAGGTTTTTTAGATAAAGGTCAAATCGGGCAATTCTTTGATAAATTTTTCTGGAGTCAAAACTGATAGTGAAATTTTGGTTTAAATTCGTTAAATTCATCTAGCATTTTTTTAGCAAAACCCCGCTTTTAAATTAATAAAATTTTAACAAAAATTAAAATAATAATTTCGTTCAATAAAAATTTGTAGTTAGATAAAGTATAATGTGCAAAAAATTTCAACATAGTTTTCATAGTTTTATTCATTTACCATCTCTCATGCAGGAAAACTGAAATATTTGTAAGTAGATTGATACAAATCATTTTAACTTTGACAGCTACGTGCGCACAGATTTATGAATTTGCAACATCTAACAAACCAGAAGGAATATTCCAGGCTCGACTTCCATCACTGACACACATGCAAGAGTGTCCTTGGGTGACAAACATCCTCTATTGCAACTTTCATTTGTTAAAAAATTCCATACTTGTGGTATAAAAGGACCGTGTGGTCAGTTAGTTAATTCAGTAACAGACCAGCCACACTTGCAAGATGATGAAATTGTTGGTGCTCATTTTTGCTGTCCAGGTAAAATCCATCTTCTGATGAACAACTTCAATTTATTATTACTGATACATATATTTTATGATACTATATAGCTGGTGGTTTCTGCACCTGTAACTAAGCCAAGTAATTATTATACTTTTTAATTTCAATGTTCGGGAAACTTTAATATATGTAAATCGTAAATTTATAGCCCCCTTAGATTCTGAGTTAAATCATACCGAGAACCATACTGAAAACCATACCGAGAACCATACTGAAAACCATACCGAGAATCATTCCGAAAATCATTCTACTGCCACTGCCGGCTCCACTACTGTGAGTGTGTCCACATTGAAGGCCGGTACGAAGGCCTCCAAAACAACTGTAGCAAAGGTCGCGACGACCAAAGCCCCAAAAGCAACCAGCCCACCGAAGACAACCAAAGCCGCAAAGACAACCAAAGGTAAAAGTGGATAGATGAGTGGAGGAATCCCAATATGTGAATTCTACGTTTTTGATTGTTTGTCGTCCACAAATGTTTGAATAAAAAAAAATAATAATTGGAACAAATGAATCATTATTTCATCCCACATGCTCTTGTAATGTACAATTTACGCAAAATTTAAAAAAAAAAATTGACAAATCAAATGAACAGATTCAATTTAAAAAGAATTATATTATACAAAAATTTGTAGTTAGATATTTCTAGCTCGTTAAAATTAAAGTATTTTACGTCATTTTTAATTGTTGCTAATTTGACTTATTACGAAAGGGCAAAAGTGCACGATTTTAATGTTGAGGATCATCTTGGCTGATAGTCTTGAGATTAATTTTAAATTTTGCAAAATTATCAAAATAATTTTTTCCTTTCTTTTCTCGACGTTTCATAGTTGGCATTGAGGAGAGTCGAGAGTGCGTGCAATGAGGTATTCTGTTCCCTGTCGCATCTTATTACCCGAGACACATGCTGCTGTTTGTACATGCATTAAAGAAAATTTATTTATTCAGCTTTGCATGCTAAGTGTCATAATTCTAATTGTCAGCCGACGCGTCTCTTCTCCATTTAAGGGTGGCTCTAGATATATATTCACTGCTTGCCGCCCGAAGCAGGGCCGAGGATTATAGAATGACGGATTTTCCTATTTATAAGAGATTGAATTGAAAGGATTATTTGACATGGAATCGATCACGCATAAAAACCACTTTCCCTCTCAGTCACAACAGAATTAATAATACACAAAAAATAAATTTTCATACAAGATTTTACTTTTCAAGCAGGCGCGACTTGCCGAGGAGCTTCATCAGTTTCGATTTTCAACAAAAATCTGCATGCAAATTGCTTTTAAAATAGATTGAGACAATTCCAAAGACGGCAATTAATTTGCATATAGATTCAATATGGCGAGTGTGGAACGAATGATTAAAAAAAAGAGAAGCACAAATATCCAGAGTGGAATTTTTACATATTAAAAACATTTTTATTCAAATCACGCTGAGCTACGCAACCCTTTCTTGGTGTGTCTGAAAATGCATGCGCGATATTTATTATAAGAAAAAAATTATGAAAACCGTTGAGAACATAAACTCTTGGCCGCTCTTGGCAGCAAAACTTCTTGAATTGAATTAAAGATGAATCTTAAGAAATTTGAGAGTTGCCAGAAATACGGTGGTACATTTTGCCTTAAAAATTTTATAAAAATTGTCAAAAGAACCTGAATAAATTTGATGAACAGGGTTTATCCTCGCGTAGAAAATTCTAAAATTAAAGGAAGATATAATTACTAATTATTTTTTTAATGTCTTTTTAAAATTAATCTATCCATTTTGTAATATTAAAAAAAATTGTATAAAAAATCAAGTATGCCAATTTTTAAATGATTAGATCCTCAGCAAATATGATGATCATCACGAAAAATGGTATTATGCTAAATCATGAAGGATTTAATAATTTGTTTACATAAAGTACACTACTAATAAATGCGTATTTAGGATCAAATTTTTATTCACAATATTCAAAAAGAAAAAATAACCTCTTCCAACCAAGATACAAGAGTTCAAAGGTCCGCCCAATAATAAAATATTTAGATCAAAATTATTCAAATCCCATTCTTGTATATTAACATCAAATTATTAGTGTCCAAATTAATATAAAAAGTGTAGACTTTTGTGCTTTGTCACATTTTTTAGCCAATTTTTGAAGCCTTGGTTGTCTTAGGGCTTTTGGTAGTAGTTGTCTTCGAGGTTTTGGTGGTGTTTGGGGCTTTGGTTGTTTTAACGCTTGCTCCTACTTTCTGAGCAGTTTTCAACGTAGACACACTCACAGAACTGGGGGTCGTACTGGTGGTGGTACTGGTGGTGGTATCATCATCATCATCGTCGTGTCTTCCGAAGACATCGGTGTGATTAGCCCTGTCAGTATGGTTAGCCCTTTCAGTGTGATTAAAGCCATTGTGGTCATTGTCATTATCAGTATGTCCTATTGGCTATTATTTTTAATTCTTCTGAGCATATATAAATAATTTAACAATCATCACCCCCATTACCCGATCTTCCCTGGTCTCTGGCTTGCGCATAAACACACAGCTGTGAATATTACAGTTTTTTTTTTTTTTTTTTTATCAACGGTGCAAATGGATTTATTTGTCAAAAGATTAATAAATTTACCTGGACAGCAAAGATGAGCACCACGAGTTTCATCATTTTGAGCTGGTTTATTGCTGAATGAATTTTCTAAATGGCCTCTCGAGCTTTTTATGCTGAACGGTGGCGTCAGGAACATTTTGCGCAATTTAGGCTTGCAAACTAAGGATCGGTAACTAGAACGGAAGCCGATCGCCATGGAATATTTCATTTCCTGGGGTCCATATTTCCGTTTCTCATTCATCATTTAAATTTCGCAACTCGATATTATCTCTCCCAGCCTCTGAGCGCATCAACACGTCAATGGTGTTTGGTTGCAATGAAACCCAAAAAATTATGGTTTGACAAAATCTTTTCATTAGGATTATGCGCTGACGCTCAAAGCTCAATGAGTAAAATTAAATAAAAATATCATTTCATGTAATCATACATACGTTTATGGATTTTTTTCATTTTCTGTTGAAGAATTTGATATAAAGTACTTTATAATATAATATTCTAGGATATTAAGATTTGTATAGTTATGAAATGCCAATTTTCTATCGCAGCATGTTCTAAAAAGTCAAAATGCAATAATCAAGCAATATATCATTGGCAAAAAAAATTGTTTGTAAATATATAAATTTTGTTTTTTGTTTTAAATTTTAACAATCCGTAAATAAATTCAAACTTTATGATTTAATTTTCATAATAAATTCAATCAAACCCGATACAAACTTAAGCCACAGCCAAGTTACGCTATTTGAATGTAGGGTTGAGTTGCCATGGTCCAGGTCAGGCTTTTAGATCTCCATCTAAATTTTTGTTGCTATTTTTTTCGAAATTTTCTAGATTTTAAAGATTTTGCAGTTTGAATGCCTAATCTTTCTGAAATCGTTCGTGAATTTTATTTCTTTTTTCCCTTTATAATCTGATGGTCATTATTGATTTAATAAATTTAAAGTTTCTTGTTCCAATAGAAAATTGAAAAATATCAGAAGTATTCTCTTTTTTTTAAATTGCAAATTTTTAAATCAGTATGAGGAAATTGAATGCACTTTAAACTGTCTAGTATTATTTCGAAGTACAAAGTAATGTTTACATCAATATTTTTAAATCGTTTGTTTCACATATTTAACTTCATTTTATCACAAGAAAAAAAAGTTTGATTGCTTATTACTTTTTTATTTTATCATGTTTGTTTAATCCAATTTTGGCGACACAAAAACGCTTCTGGTCGCGGTCGTTGTAATAGCAGAAATAAAGTAAGTAGTTTTTATTGCATATTTTGATTTATTTTTTTATTAAAGGATTTTCCAGCCCAATAATGGAAAACGTAGAATTCACTAAGTGGGATTCCTCCACACGTTTATCCACTTTTACCTTTGGTCGTCTTTGCGGCTTTGGTTGTCTTCGGTGGTTTGGTCGTAGTAATTTTTGTTACAGTTGTCTTAGCGGCCTTTGTAGAACCGGCCTTCAACGTAGACACACTCACAGTACTGGAGCGGGCACTGACGGTAGATCTACTTGCATCAGTATGATTCTCGGTGTGATTCTCGGTATGATTCTCGGTGTGACCAGTTATATCAGTATGATTTGCCACTTCAGTATGATTTTCGTTAGCACTAAAGGGGGCTGTGCATTTACCATTTATATATTTAATTTTTCTGAACATTTAAATAATAAATTAATAATTACTCGGAACAAAAGCTGAAGAAACCACCAGCTGCATTGGAGTAAAAATTGAGAATTTACGTCAGAAAAAAATGAATAATTATACCTGGACAGCAAAAATGAGCATCAACAGTTTCATCATCTTGCGAGTGTGGCTGGTCTGTTACTGAATTAACTAAATGATCACACGGTCTTTTTATACCAGAACGAACGTTTTGTGCAATTGAAGTTTTCAATAGAGGATGCAGTTCACCCAAGGACACTTTCGGATGTGTGTCAATGACGGAAGTAGAGTCTAGAATATTTCCTCTCAAGGTTTGTTACAATTTTCGCAACATCATACCTCTGTGCGCAGAGCTGTCAAAGTTACACTGATTTGAATCATAATTTATATAGAATTTTTCAGTTTTCCTGCATGAGAGACCGTTGATAAATTTTGAAAGTTTTTACTGTAAATGGCATCAATGAAACATTTTATTATTTTGAATAATGTATGTACCATTTCGAAATTGCAAGTAAAAAAAAACTAAAAAGAGAATCCTAATGGTTCTGAAAATTTTAAACTACTTCTTAATTTTGAAGTGGGTTGAAGGATTTCCAAAATTTAAAAATTATTTTTGTCAGAACGTTGCTGGAAAATTTTCAAAGCATCAGTTCAGTTGTGATTTTAAATTAAACAGTTTCAGTCAGTTTAATAGGTTTGAGCAGTTTTTTTTTCAAACAGTTCAAAAATCTAAATTAATGTGCAAATTTAGGTTTTAAAACTCATATTTTATTTTACATCAATGATATAATGCAATTCCTGCATTAAATAACAAAATTGGGACTTAACATAAAAATAATTTTGAAAATTCATTATTTTAACTAGTATGTTCAACCAAGACTTAATTTGATTTCCATTTTAATCATTATTATCTAAATAAATGTCCATTTTTTAATTTACCCACCAAAATGTTAATATTATCATAGATTAATTGCATCAATGAAAAAGAAACACAATAACTAATTGAGACCTTTTGATTTGTAATCTTGATAGAAATATTATATAAAGTATAAGATCAAATTTTATTTTGATTGAAGTGGATTGAAGGAAATATAGTTTGCAATAATAATTATAACATTTGTATTTCTTTTCACAACAACCAAAAAGTAGTATATTTTTTTCTCTCATATAAAAATTTAAAACTGAAGCGTGGGGTTTGCCTTGGGCGGACTGAATTGCACATATCACATTAATATCAGAGCATATTTATTCCCAACTCTTTCGTCTCATTTGCGCCTTTTGTGTCGATTCGCGTCGTCTCGTCCGCGCACATACGAGAGATGCAGCAGCCGCGCGGCAGTTTGAGTTATGGCCGTTTTGCACGATGCATTAAAAGATTATTCACTGCCGCGCGCGAACTTGTGTGAATTGAATCCTGAAATAAGAAAAACGCATACGCAGAGTGTGTGTGTCTTTTTATAAATAAATGTATACAACGTGCTGCGCGCGTTATTCGTATATTCTTCATTTTCCTCTTATTTGTGTGCCGCCGGAGTGTCAGCGGCGCAATAATTCTCCACGCCGGCGACTGCATGCTTTATGGTCTGCGAAATCCGCTGCGGATAATGCATCATCTCGCACGCATGCATTTAATTTTGACATTGTGCTCCCTGTCGCGATATTACTTCATCCCTGCGTGGCGCATTTGCTGTTGTACATACGTCGACCGCGACCAGCAGCTCTTGTAAAAAAAAATATGCACAAAAATCGTTAAAAAAAATGAGCAATGGAAATGACTAAAATATAAAAAGGAGGTTACCTAAAAAAGTTATGAAAAGCTGCACTTGACAAAACTACCTTTGCCTTTAGGCTAACGTATCCCGCCATTCAAATTGCATCCTGAGGTGGCCTGTTGGGTTATGTATAGCTATAGGCCAGGTTAGGCTTTTGAATCATGATACCCTTCAAAAATTTTGGAACATTAAAAGTTAATTATTATTTTCATCTTTTATGTTACTCTTTGAATTAATTGCAAAAATATCTAATCGATTGATTTTTAAATTTTGATTGCAACAAATGCTCATGGGAACAAAACTTTAAGTTATTAAATGAAACCTATTAAATAATTTATCAACACTTGAAGGCTATCATCGCAGGCAGAGGCTAGTTAAGCATAGTATCTGCATATTGCAACGTGTATACCAATAAGCTTTTATCTTATATTAACTCATTTTTCACAATTCATATATATACTCCTCTCAATCAGATGGAAATTTAACGATTGTTTTCATTTGTAAGCAACCCCTTGCAAAATATTTTTTGAGAGCTAAATCAAATACAAAATTTATCAAGTTTCTCAATTATCATAATTTTATATTCGATTAGTCGAAACGGAAAATTTATTTATTTGCCCTGCGGTCAAAAAGAATAACTTTTCATCTTTGAACAATACTTGAACCATATTTATTCAAAGGACTCGGTCTGAAGAACTGTTCAGAAAAACAGAGTCTGGTAAATTTCTCTTTCCAATTTCGAAATTTATCATAAAAAAATTATAAAATGTTCTAGAAACCATTACTGTACAAAATTTCAAAACAATTTTATTTATTAATCATCTGCATCAGGAAAACTGAAATATTTGTATGTAGATTGATACAAATCATTTTAACTTTGACAGCTACGTGCGCAGAGATTTATGAATTTGCGACATCTAACAAACCAGAAGGAATATTCCAGGCTTGACTTCCATCACTGACACACATGCAAGAGTGTCCTTGGGTGACAAACATCCTCTATTGCAACTTTCATTTGTTAAAAAATCCCATACTTGTGGTATAAAAAGACCGTGTGGTCAGTTAGTTAATTCAGTAACAGACCAGCCACACTTGCAAGATGATGAAATTGTTGGTGCTCATTTTTGCTATCCAGGTAAAATCCATCTTCTGCTTCAATTATTATTATACTGATAAATATATTTAATGATGCTATATAGCTGGTGGTTTCTGCACCTGTAACTAAGCCAAGTAATTATTATACTTTTTAATTTCAATGTTCGGGAAACTTTAATATATGTAAATCGTAAATTTATAGCCCCCTTAGATTCTGAGTTAAATCATACCGAGAACCATACTGAAAACCATACCGAGAACCATACTGAAAACCATACCGAGAATCATTCCGAAAATCATTCTACTGCCACTGCCGGCTCCACTACTGTGAGTGTGTCCACATTGAAGGCCGGTACGAAGGCCTCCAAAACAACTGTAGCAAAGGTCGCGACGACCAAAGCCCCAAAAGCAACCAGCCCACCGAAGACAACCAAAGCCGCAAAGACAACCAAAGGTAAAAGTGGATAGATGTGTGGAGGAATCCCAATATGTGAATTCTACGTTTTTGATTATTTGTCGTCCACAAATGTTTGAATAAAAAAAAATAATAATTGGAACAAATGAATTATTATTTCATCCCACATGCTCTTGTAATGTACAATTTACGCAAAATTTAAAAAAAAAATTGACAAATCAAATGAACAGATTCGATTTAAAAAGAATTATATTAAACAAAAAGTAAAACATAAAAAATTATGAAATGCAACACTTTCATTTTGAAAAATTGTTGAAGTTTGCAATAAAATTCCTCGTGTAATCAATTAGCAACATTTTCTTAAAAATATTTTTAATTTACCCTCATTTTCTGGTTTACAAAAAGCACACATTTCACACAAGGAGCTTAAAATTGACCCAAAATTTCTGGGAAAATTTTTTCTCCCACGCCAAGAACAATCGAAAAAGCTGCATATCCGTTGCACTTGTTCACAGCTTTTCGTCTGGGGTGCAATAAAGTTTCCACCTTGTAATCCCTGCTCGCCCCCGGATTTTTTGCCCCTTATTAGGCGGCCCTCTTTTTTTGTCATGCAATGAGATCGGAAAATGGCAAAGGAGCCGGCGGTGGGCTTGAAAGAGATTCGGGGTGTCTCGGGACTCGCTGGAGCCAGAGGGATGCTTCTTTTCTCTTGCCGGCCGCGCATCTTCTCTTGGCGGCGGCGGCGGCGGAACGCATTTAGTTATTTTTCTTCTACCTGTGCTCGCCCAGAAGAAAAAGAGATACAACAATGGGGACCTCCCGCCGACCGAGAGCAGGCTGTCTTTTGAGTGAGCTTTGTGCAGAAAAGATATATCTCATCATCAACACTGCACTCTGAAAAGCGACCTTCGGGCCACTGCACTGTTTGGACAATTTTGATGAGGAAAAATGTTTTTGAACACGAAAAACGCGCTTGATAAATAATGCTGGAAGGGTGGAATTTTTGGAGAACGAGAGTAACAATCAGAGGCGTACAGAAATTCGTGCTTTTCATGTCAGGAATATTTGTGTTTATTTTTGTGCGGTTGGGGTGAATTGCATGACGTTTCAAAAATCAATATTCCGCACTGCTTAACAACTTAGAACTGTCATTAAAATTAGAATAAAATATGATTTTAGTGAATTCTGTGAGAGGAAACTTAGGCCGTTATCAAATTATATAAACAATCAAAAGATGACTTTTCAAAATATTTAAAGGACATGTATGCTTTAAAATCTCTGGGTTTTCTTGGAAATTTAATCTTCATGAAATGATATTGTGGTGCTGATTTAACACAAATAGCTTTTTAAATACACGAAGATATATATTTTAACTGTTTTTATTTTTTGCAATTTATTTTATAATTGGTTGTAAAAAAATGCGTAAATATAAATGCATATTATTTTAATTATTTTGTTACATTCCCCTTTTTTTCATAATGATGTTTGACTTATAATTTTTTAGAAATGTGTTAATTGTATTTGTATGTTGTGTATTTTCTTATTTTCCTCCTTGATCCTTGTCCTATTATTACATTAATTCATTTATCTTGATCAGGAAAATTATTTGCCATCCGAATTGTACAAATTTTAAAGGGACGGTCCAATCTCCTAAATAAAGATCTGCTTCCTTAATATAATCATGGTTATTATAATGAAATTAATTCCTGCATTATGTTACATGATGATTTTAACCAAAACTTTTTTTTATGTTAAATGATTTTTTTTGGCTGCAATTAATAAATTTGATAAAAATATATTGGACGGAGTGTTTCAGAATGGAATTGAAATTATCAACATAAGTTCTTTTTTTACTTTTTCAGATTTAAATGGGGTTGCGGAGTTTTTAACATACCAAATTTAAAAGCAAGTAACGTTTTAATATTTTTTTCTTGGTTATTCAAAAAACGAGGTTTTAAAAATTTTCACACCTCAAAAAAAATGTTGACAAAAAATTCAGACGGATAATTTTTGATCTGGAGCAGTCGCCCGGCGCGGGAGCCGAAAAGCACAAGTGTAAAAACGGGAATAGATGTAAAAAATTCAGGCTGGTCGGTCGGGCCGGCGCGCAGAGCCGCGGCCAGGTTGAAAAACAGCACTCACTTGCTATTCCCCTCCGCGCCATGCCATGCGCGGTGTGGATAATATTTTTTTCTCTACCATCTCATACCTGTTTTCCACCTTGAAGGTAGCGCTCTTCGTTCGCGTCGAGAGTCAATTCCCCTACATACCTGCAGCACTGCATGCCGTCTCGGCCTACCCGTGTTTCAAGAGAGCCCCACGCATCCCGAACAGCGCTGCCAGGGAAGGGAGGGAGGGAGGGCGGCCGCAGGAGGAGAGGAGAGCGAGGCCTTCAGTTGCTTGCGAACAGCGACCTAGGGAGGATTCGGTGCTTCGACAAAATCCACGCGCACTGCCTCTTGTCGCCCTTTGCCGAATTGCGAGGATGCTGGCGACCGAATCGAACAATTTCCAGGAGAAAACCATGTGCGGTCGGCGAGTGCGAGAGTGACTTGACCCCTGGAAAGGAGTAGTGTGGGCACTCGGCGCTGCTGCTAGGCGACCGCCGCGCTTCCAGTTCACCGACTCCGAGCGTGAAAACGACGACCGATCGGATTGAAAGTTGTTTTATTTCCCGACCGATCGGCACCTGTGCGGTTTCAAAGTGCAGTGTGTGTGTGGAACAAGGACTTTTGACAATAATTTTGGATTACCTGAAGCCGTGGTAGGTGAAATGATAATAATTGTCACAAGCCCTGCGGCGAGCTGGGGATTTCAATGAGCGATTTTCCCTCAAAGTTGAAAAAAATCAAGTTCGTTTCGACTCAAATTACAGATAATTACAAAAGATTCTCATCAAAAATGGATTACACGCGCATTAAATGAAGAATTAAGGTCAAACGTATTTATTTTTTACTGGTCAAAATTAATATTGTTTTTTATATAATAAAGGCGATTTAATTTCAAGCACACATTTTAATGACTCTGAAATAAGAGTAAAAAATTTATAAAGGAGAATTAAAATTTAGAAATTCATCTCTGTAAAAATATAATTTTCTCAAATTGTTAATAATCAAATTCATTACTCAGCATTCTGTCCGCCCCTCCGAGACGAGAATTAGCATTTCGCGCACTAATCTCTAATTAACAAGTAGCCCGAGTTGTACCCGGGCACACGTTTTCTCTCATTTTCCGAGAACCGACTCCAATTCATCATTCATTTTTCGCGCACGCACCTCTCCCGAATCGGAATCACGCGCGCTCCGCGGTGGCTCCACTCTCGGTACACCCAATAATTTTATTAGCATGGGACGAGGAAAATAGCCGAATAGAAAAGTATAAAGAAAAAAAAAACGAAGAAGGCATGCATTATTTTTACATATATACATATCGGGGCTGGTTTATGTATGCGGACATCTTGTATGCTCCTTCTTCTTCTTCTCTATGTATTTTTTTTTCGCCTCAGGCGATAACTCTTAAAAACCTCCTTTCCTATACGTGCGGTGTGCCGAGATGGTGTTGCTGCTTCTCCGAGGTATGCTACTACTACGCTACACGGACGGCTTTGGTGAACCGGGCAGACCGGCGAGGCAGCCGCGCATTGAGAATTCAGTTTGGGCCACGGGGCAATGCGCTTGCCCGCGCGCCTGGACCAAGGAAGGCATCTCATAGATAGATAGATCGCGGCCCCGACTCGCTGCTCTTTTGAATATTTTTCATCCTCTCTCTCTTCTAGCTGCAGAGGAGGAATTCTAATCATGCTCCAGTAATAGGTTTTTTCAACTTTTGTGTTCCGCCGGCTCGCCATCTCGCCTTAACCTAGCCAGCAGCTTTTGTTTCCCGAAAAATTTTCATATATATTCAGCGGAGGCACGTTTTGCATTCATTATGAGGTGCGCGAAAAAAGAACGCGTGGGAAAGCAAAGAATATCTCTGATTTTTATCTTTATAAAGTGCACTTTATTCCGCGCCGCTGCGACGTTTATATAATTGCATCTCTCTCTGTGGCGCGAGATTCTGAAAAACGGTGACAAGAATCGGCACGCCACACCCTCGCGCTCTCCACGCCACAGACTGTTTTACTTTTCGATTAAAATAAAATGCCTCTTAGCTCTCTCGGCTAATGCAGTAGCAATTTAGCAGAATTATTGGCCGGCAAAGTTGTATGCACCTAATTAATGCGTCTGCAATAAGCGGCGAATGCTCAGCAGTGCATTATAATGGCCCTGGAAAAATCGAAGTGCGGCCGTGATTATTAAATACATTGAATTGTTAATGCGTCTTTTTCTGTATTTGATGCGTGGGCTGCCGGGTTGTAAAATTTTATTTAAAGTGCACTGCATTTTTCAATGTTCGAAATGGGTGATGCAGACACTTTTCAAACTGTCAAATGATCGTTTCACTTTAAATTTCTAAATTAACTCTCGAGAGAAAATTGAGTGCTTAAATTAAGTAAAGTGGTATTGCAGAAAACTGAAAGCTGGTTCAATAAATTAATTTAATGAAATTAGATAAAAGTGTAAATTAAATGTTTGTTTGATGAATTGACACTCAATGAGATGATCATGGTAATGAAGAGATCGGGCTTTTTCCTTGTTGCAGAAATCGTTTTTTATACAAAAAAATGGCTCATTAATATAATTATACTAATAGTTTTGGTCACGGTCTGCGACCCTATTTCATGAGCAAGAAAAATACAATAAAATCAGCAAAATAAAAAAAAAATCACCACTTTTTAACATAATAATTAAAAACTTAAAATTAATAAAGTTGTTTTGGAATGAAATACAATTTCTGCAACGAGAAAAATTATCTCTTCATTTCGTAAATTAAAAGTATTTAATTATGTCCTAATATGAAGATGCAAACCAGATGCGAACAAATAATATACTGTAATTATGGCAATATAAGAGTAAAATTTTTGTTTGCATTGCTATGAGAAAAAATTGGAAAAAAAAATATTTAAAAAAATTAAATAATTTTGAAAAGAAAAAATTACTTAATGATTTAAAAAAGATTTTTATTATTTTGTAAATGGTTTATTATAAGAAAAATTTAGGAAATTAAAAGTTAATAACACGCGTCAAAGGTTGACAGGAAAAGAATAAAATAATCATGGGAAATGTAAAATTGATGAATAATACAATTCAACTGCAAAGACAAAGTACCCACAACGTAATGATATGACTTTTTTTTTGCTAAATCGCTCATAAAAATCAGTTCGCTGCCAAAGCAACACATTTAAAAAATAGTTTCATTTTCAATCACAAATTGTGGAATATATTTTGCGATTTATTTATTCATTATTAAAATATTTAATTTTATTTGTAATTTCAACTTGATTCTAATTTAAATTTTGTTTCAGCCAAGACTGTCTGCGCGAGGCACGGATCGGGCGAAAGATGTACCTGACAAGGTGACGCAGAGGGCACGCGCAATGCTGTCACCAAAGGGCAGGACGGACACGCCGTTCGTCGTCGTGGCGCTGACGCTGTTGCTGAGCGTCGCCAGCGCCGAGTACACATGCGAATTCAAGATCTCCGAAGGGGTGCCCATCGGCACCAGCGTCGGCCTGATTGGCGTGGCCGACTGTGAGCCGGGGCGGCCGCACCCGCCGCCACCACCCTACCTGGTGGTGCCAGTGCCCGGCTCGGGCGTCGACTCTGACCTGACCGTGGACGCCACTGGCGAGATCCGAACGCGCGTCGTGCTGGACCGTGAGGTGCGCTCATCCTACTCGCTGGTGGCGATTCCACTCAGCGGCGAGAACATTCGAGTGCTGGTGCGCGTCCTCGACGAGAACGACAACGCGCCCACCTTCCCCACACCCTTCATGCACATCGAGTTCCCCGAGAACACGCCCCGCGATGTCAAACGCACCCTCCAACCGGCGCGAGACCTTGACCTGGGCGTCTTCAACACGCAGAGGTACAACATCGTCTCGGGAAACGTCAACAATGCCTTCCGCCTCTCCTCGCACAGGGAGCGCGACGGCGTCCTCTACCTCGATCTGCAGATCAACGGCTTTCTGGATAGAGAGACCACCTCTTCCTACAGTCTGGTGGTGGAGGCCCTGGATGGCGGCACTCCACCTTTGAAAGGTTCCATGACCGTCAACATCACCATCCAGGACGTCAACGACAACCAGCCGATTTTCAACTCAACCCGGTACTTTGCCACCATCCCTGAAAACGCAACCGTGGGAACTAGTGTCCTTCGGGTGTACGCCAGTGACTCTGACGCCAGTGCGAACGGACAGATCGCGTACTCAATCAATCGGCGGCAGAGCGACCGGGACAACATGTTCCGCATTGACGCCACCACCGGAGAAATCGCAGTCAACCGCCCGTTGGACTTTGAAACCCGGGAAGTGCATGAGTTGGTGGTTGTTGCTCGAGACGGCGGTGAAACGCCTTTGGAGACCACGGCCTTTGTTTCCATCAGGGTGACGGACGTCAACGACAACCAACCAACCATTACAGTCATCTTCCTGAGTGACGACGCGACCCCGAAAATCTCCGAAGGTGCCCAGCCAGGCGAATTCGTGGCTCGCATTTCTGTAAACGACCCTGATTCAAAGGAGGAGTACGCCAATGTGAACGTCACCCTGGAAGGTGGAGAGGGCCATTTCGGTTTAGCCACTCAGGATAATATAATTTACTTGGTCATCGTTTCTCTACCCCTGGACAGAGAACTGCAGCCGGACTACACTTTGTCCGTCGTGGCGACTGATCAGGGCAACCCACCCTTGCACGCAGCCCGAACCTTCAAACTGCGAGTGACGGACGTGAACGACAATGCCCCTGAATTCGAACAGGCCGTTTATCACGCCAACGTGCTCGAGGTGGCCGACCCAGGCACCTCGGTTGTCCAGCTGTCCGCCGTAGACAAGGATGAGGGCAACAACTCGGCAGTGACCTACTCGATTGTGCAGACTCCGGACACGCACTCGAGTTGGTTCGAGATTGACTCCAAGACCGGATTGATCACCACCAAAGCCCCTGTGGACTGCGAAACGGATCCGGTGCCTCAGTTGACTGTGATTGCTACGGATAACGGTCGGCCGCCCCTTTCGGCGTCGGCCACAGTGCTAGTGACGATTCACGATGTCAACGACAACGAGCCCATCTTCGACCAGAGCTTCTACAACGTGTCGGTCGCCGAGAGCGAGCCCGTCGGACACTGCATTCTTAAGGTAAGACTGATTATTTTATTTTTTCTTTAGTGAATATAAGTCAGGAACTAGAATATTTAATTACTTAAAGAATTAATCTAAAACCAGTAATAATTTTTTTTTTTAATTTTGAAATTATTATATTAGGGAAGATTACAAAAATTTCAAATATACTTATTGGTATTAAATTTAATTTATTTTTGAGAGAAATTTAAGTGTTCACTTGTTCTTAAAAATAATGAATTTCAAAGTTTAAATAATTGAAACAAATTTTTTTAAATTAATTAAAAATAATAATGTTAAAATTAGATTATACAATTAAATAACTTTACCAAAGTATAAAACCATGTAAAACCTTACATGTTTTTATAGTTGAAAAACAAGCTAGCCAGTCAGTTTAGAAATTTCAAACAGATTTGGTATTTTAATTACAGCTGTGAATCTCACAACACTGCGACTTATTGTGGGAGGGTTCCCGATGAGTTATTTGTATGTACGTCCTTACGGCCGCGGCGCTATTATACACGGCACAATCTTTCATTTTATTATTTAAAGCCGCGACTCGCATGCGAGAGAAGAGAGGGAGATAGGCCACCCGTCGTTCTCCATCATCTACATGTTGTACTGTGGCATTATTTATGCTAAAAGTTTCAGGACCCAAAAGCGCGTCCGTCATTCTCTTACAGTTATAGCCTTATAGCAGGCATGAAACGCGCGCGCCAAGCAGAGAGGAAAAGAATAAGAACCTCTTTCGCTTATATTCCGCGCGCTGTATATTTAGCTGTCATCGGCTTGTAAACATTATTCTCTTATTCTATACACAGAAGTCATAGAAGAGAGTATCTTTTTATTCGAGAGAGCCGCGCCGGATTAACATCGTTTGCCCCCTCTAAGTAGAAATTATGTGTCCAAATGTGCCAGCAGGTGCACGCTTGGCTTTGTCGGCTGCGTGGAAAAGGAAACACGCGAGATGATGGAGCGCGCATTAGCCTTTCTTGACAAATTGAAAATTCCTCCGCCCGTTCGAACGAAAACATGAGCACTTTCGTTTTTCGCTCGATCCACTGGCACATTTCCAATTTGCATACATTTGAGACGAAAAGGGCCGTGCGTCGCGACGTTTGACCCTGGTGGCCGCAATTAAAGGGTGTGTTTGTCGACGCCAGCACGTCGTAACTCTCCGATTTGCCCATTCATTTTGCGCAATTGCTAATTTAATCAAGCATTTACAACCAACTGCCGAACGCAAGTAACGCAACGCCCCGCTCGAAAACAATGCGAAGCGGCTAATTTCTCGCGCGCGCGACCCGCCGCCGACTATTAGACTGGGTGGTGCGCGGCTTTAAACTCGGCACAATTTCACCTTAATGTGAATAAATGCAGGCGGAGGATGAAGCCCGACTGCAGCTGCAATTAATCAAGCCGGGATGATATGCAGCGTGTAATTCACTTCGTGCAGAGTAAGAGTCAAGAGCTTTGATATACGCCAAAGAGACGTACGCGGTGTAAAATCATGCTGTAAATTAGCGCCCGAGAGCCGAGTGTGTTTTCTGTTCGCCATCAGTGCCGTGACCTTAAACAGAGCGCACCTCACACAAAGATAATATTGTGGGGTTAATGATGAAAAAGGGGTTTACTTTGCAAAAAGTATCAAATAAAGCAGTGCATATGTTAATTATAGGTGCGTGCTTTACAAATTAATGAATTGTTTTTAAGTTCTTACATTATTTTTATTATTAATTTTAAATTTTATTCACAAAATTTTAAAATTTAGTTTGGAATTTACTCTGTCTATTTTTTTATTGTTTAAAATTTTTAAATCAATTTTTCTTTACTGCGTTAGAAAAATATTATGAATATAGGCATTATTAATTACTGATTTATTAATTCTTGTTAAAATGGATTTCAATATAAATTGAAATTTGGTTATAGTTGATAAATCTGCATCCAAAGATAATTTTCATGCAGTGCATAGGAACTGCTTTCTGAGTTTAAATGATGAGGTCATTGAGCGTTAAAATTAATTGAAATGTCCCAATGTTTAATTAAAAATTGAAAAATGTATGTAATTTAAAAAAATATTATGAATAAAAAATATGTGATATATAAATGAATACATTCTAATGGCCAAAACTAACTTTTAGCGCCACACATTCCTCTCTTTTCATCTCTGGTCATGGAACTTAACAGGAAGCAGAATATTAAGAATCTCATCTCATTGTGCTCAGACGCCAAAAGCACCTTCTTCTTTTCGCAGCGCACAATTTGCCTTTTCCGACTCACTGAGCGAGTTACATGGCGGCAAAAGCAAACCGTTCGCGAACGCAGCCAACAACTGACTGCATCTCTCTCTCTGTGCATGTTCGCTCTCAATCAATTGTCCCGGCGTCAGTTGAATTTAATTATTTGTTCGGCCGAACCGACGAGATGCTTCTTTTTTTTCTTGTGCTGCGTGAAATTCGCCCTCGATAAAATCGCAGCGAGATTGACAATGAGCAAATAATGTGCCGCCAATGCAGCGGCATGGCGCCTGCAATAAATTATTATATGCACCGTCGTCGTTACATTCATTGTATGCAGAAAGAATGCAACACATTGTGACTTATAGCTCCAATTATACCGCTCATTTGCAGCGCGAACGGCAATTTTTTAGCTTTTACTGCCGACACGATTGTAAATCTCTGTGTATAGATTCATGCCGGGTGCATCGGTGTAATGAAAAATCTTGTAAGAGCTCTATTTAAATCGGAATGCACGTGGGATTTGTTTATTGATGAGGAATGATTTGCATACGCTTAAAAGTGATTTAAGGTTGTAAATTTTCGTTTTCAAGCTGGTTTGTTTATGGTGACAGGTGGAAATTTATTGAGAATTTCTAAATGAACACATAAAATTTTGAAACAAAATCTGCATATTATTGTTATGTTATTGGAGGAATGGGAAATGGAATTTTTTGTTTAAAAAAGTCGATCATTTAGGCTTGTCTTCAATTTTAAAATTTAAAAAAGTGTCAATAAAATCTCTTTAATCGTTTTTTTCTGTCTCTTTAACTTTTTTTTTTAAATTTAATTCTTGAAATATGGGTTTGCAAAGATTCAATGTGTCAAAAAAAATTCAGAAAGGGGTAAAAATTAAAAATAAATTTGCCACTCTAACATTTAAAAAATTTAAAAAAAAAAATAGATCTTTGGAACCAAAAAATTAAGTTATTCGTAACAACTTCTGCTAACATGTCAACATTATAGCAAAATCAGACAATATGTAATGAGCAAAAATGTCGTCTGGAGAAAAATGGTCACATTAGGGTCCTTGTTTGGAAGTCAAATTGCAGCGCAGGCGTTGGTTTCTTCAAGAAGTGCAACACAATCGACAAAAGACAATGAGCTGAAACGACACTGTCGAGACGGCCGCGCATAATAAAACATATAACGAGAGCCGGTGCTGCTTATTAGAATATGATTGAAAACCGCTTTATTACTATTCATCATCGCGATCTCTCTGCAGCAAATGCGCCGGCCTGACGGGAGAGGGTCTCGTAAAAGTCCTGCCGGTGCACAGATAAATCTTTTAATTAATACACGGCGCATAAGTTATATTGTCATATACATTATGACATCATTTTCGTCTTTATAGTGGTGAACGCCCTCCTCCTCCTCTAGAATATTATTTTTGCACTGCGCCGCGATCTCTCGCATGTACAAATACAAAACTGGTAACGACGCCGATAAGCGACGCATTAAGCGCAAATTGAATTAATTAAAATTCAATCGCTCGGAATGAAAACACACCGGTGGGCGGTGCTGATGATTATTCTCGACCGTGTAATGGAATTCCTCGGAAAATTCTACACACAACAATTTTCATTTATATAATATAATATAAAATGATGATGATAATACATTTAAGACGCACTTTTCTGTCTTCTCTCTGTTTGATTGGACGAGTATGTAATTTTATTTTATTGATCGGCAGCCGGCGCGGATTACAAGTTATTTTTTTTTTTTCATATCCACAACTACTCGCGGGACTCCCACATTATTTGAGCCAAGGCAATAAATTACGGACGCATGTTGCACAAATCACGATGAGATTTTTATTGACTTTATTTTGCTGAGCTCTACTGCATCTCTCCCTCTTTCTCGCAATGTCCAATTTCCGAGTAGAAAAAAATATCATTTCTGCCGCCGAGGTGACGTTGAAATTTACGACCGCGTGCGTTCAATCATAAATTTAGATCAATTTTCAATAGCCGGGGTGGAGTAGTTGTTTATGCTGCTTGCAATTGTGTTTTATTAGTAGTCGTCGAGCAATCATCTCGACGTCGAATCAGCACGCTTATGCCACATTAACAAACTTGTCATCTTATTCTTTTCATGAAGGATTTTTGCTCTCGGAGAATAAGTTTTGGAAAAGTTTAGTACAGGAAATTGGAGCACGTTTTTGATCCGGGCGAGATTGGTTATTGCTTTTTTACTTGTTAAATAATAAATTATATTCCATGAAGCTTTCAATAACACGCTGTCTAAAGCAAGAAACATGATCAGTATTTTAATTACTTTTTTTTATCTCTCTCTCTCACTCTAATATAAAAGGCAGCGCAGTGAGGAGAGTGCGCGAGCGAGGATCCAACATGGCGCACGCTAGAGTCCTTTTCTCGTCCGCGGTCGGTGTCTGCCGCTTTGGCCTTGCTACACACACAGAGCTACAGGGTGTGGGCCGCTTCATATTCCGCTCTTTATATCTCCTCTACATCTCGCTCTCTTCACACTGGGAGATTTAGCAGCAGTTGGAGCTAATTACAAATGAGTATCCGAAAGAAGAAACAACCGTCTCTCTCCCTTGACGCTTATCGACCGACCTGTACAGACGAGCAATTATTCCGCGAGTTGGTTGGTTGTAAAAAGAGCAAAAGAAAAATTCACATGAAATTGAGAATTTGATTTTAAGTTAATGACATGTATTTCGAACAGAAAAGATATAAATTATTTGAATCTTATTGTTTCACCTTCTGAACACAAAAG